TGGATTTTTTGAAAGTTTGGGGGGGGGGTCTGCATCAGTACTGCTAAGCCCACTGGAAGGAGTACATCCTGCTAAGTTCATCCATGTGACGTTATCAGTGCAGAAGTACATAAAAGTTTAGACCAAACAGTGAAAAGCATGTATGTTTCATGACCTTCAAACATTTCCTCTGGTGCTCTCACACTCAGTGAGCAGAGCAAAACAGTACCTGAATTCTCACCAACACCACTACTAGATCTTAAGTAAAATGCAAATAACTTACATGAATCCCGCATTTCAAGAGAAGCCAGAAAACCTGTATACAATATAGTATACCCACTAAAATATCCAGAAGTTCTAATTCCATAGGAGTGTACAGGTCTTTCAGAAGTAATACAAAATATGTGCATGCATTTACACTTACATCTGATTTTTAGCCGCTTGTCTCTGAGCTTTCCGTTCTTTCCTTTTTTGATCTGGTGGCTTAGCAAAAACAATTTCAATGTTTTCTCCCTCTAAATCTTTGCCATTCATTTCTTCCATTGCCTGAAGGAATTAACCAGACTTTAAATATACTTCTAAGCATATCTGAAGTTATTAATTTTATTCTATCTTTTAGAGTATGCATTTTAAAATGTGTTATCCAGAGCTAAAATAACAATATAAAGCTAAAAAAAAAAAATTTAAGTAATCACACATCATAGCATCATGGGTTCCAGAGTTACGCATTTCCTCTTAACTTGGCTCTCAAACCCAGGACTGCATATATCAGTTTAGAAATCTTGCATTCAAAACTCTAAACCGGCTTCAATCTTTGCAAGTTGTTTCAATTAATGAAGTGACACAACTGTCCTCTGAAAGTACAGATTTTGCAATAAGGGAATAAATTTCTAATGTCATCACACATGCAAACACTACTAAAATCTAGAGATCAGTGTATGTTTTTATTCCTTTATTTTACTCGTAAGAAGTGTAACTTACTTTTTAAAACAGAAGCCAAAAATTAGAATTCAACAGTCTCATTCTGACCACAAAAAACCCCAGAACAAACCGCCACCAAAAAAAAACCCCAACAACACACCCACGTACAATTCCAATGGGTCACAGTGATCGCTACAAATTAAATTCAAGCAAGGGAATCCTAAAGATTCTACCACTTTTAGGGACTCTACATAGCTAAGCCTTGATGGGATACATATGCTATGAAAAGACTCTTTCCATCTTCTTCCCAAGCATCTGCTTTAAGGCATCTGGATGAGTAGGAAAAACTGAATCCCCTTGTATCCTGCATCCTCCCACAGAACATAAAAAATAGATACACTATAGGCAGGAGAGGAATTATATTTTGCTTCCTAACAACAGATGACAAGAGAAAAAACACTAAGTCCAGGCTAGCAAAATCCAAGAATGACAAATACTTGATTGTCCAGCACTACTCATCAAAAAGAAAAAGGTGCTTATTCCACATCACAAAAACAAAGTCATTCTGTTCCTGAAATAAGAAGATTACCTAAATTCTTATCACCTGCCCTAGAGAAACTGCTTTAAAGTCTACCAGCAACTTGGCGAGAAGAGTCATTCCAACTTCTGGCACTTCAGTTTCAAATGGTAGCACATATGACTATGTTAGATACTCAGCAGTAGAATAACTTAGGATAGGTGCATCTAAGATCACTTTTCAAGCTAGCAACTACGTCTTCCTAGGAGACGCCCATATACGTGACAATGTGTTACCATTTCTCCAGGCAGAGCTTTTTCTCAAGTTAAAAGCAGTATACAGCTTCTAACGGTTACATTTAGTCACTGCTTACACACACAGTTACAGTCCTCTTCACTTACCTTTACAGCACCATCTCGTTCATCAAAATGAATGAAAGCATAGTCTTTTAGCTTCTTCACTCGCTCTAGCTTTCCAAATTGACTGAAGGCCTTTTCTAGTATCTCCTCTGTTACAGTATTGGCAAGATTGCGTACAAACAAAACTTTTACCTAAAAAAAAAGGGAATAAAAAAAAGACAGTACTCAGAAGCACAATCTAATTCCAAAACACAAAACGAAGTTTTGCAAGTCACTGCGATTGGCAGTACTAAAAACATCATTACATTTTATGTACAGCATTTTATGCACATATACATGAATATGTATATTTATATACTCATACAGCATGAGTTAGCGCCAAAATTCCCTGACTGACAGAAATATTCAATCTGTTTTCAAATATGATTACGTAAGTATTAGTATCCCGAAAGTCAATCCAATTTGTGTTAACGCTTAAAAGAATCCTAGCAGCAGTAATTTTCAACTCAGAACACTTTCAAACTTGAAAGGCAGCAACCAGGATCGGTTACACACAAAATAATTAACTTATCAAAACACTCCATTGTTTAGACAGGTTTTTGCTCAGGTATTTGCAGAACAGTCATCACTATAATATCTAGGTCAGAGGTGACAGGCCTGCAGCTCTCAAGCTGCTTAACTTGTGGCTCCCATGCTACAGCTACACCAAATACCTAGCATCAGGACTGCACTTGCTGGAGGAGTACTCAGTGACCTGAAGCCACAGCTAGAAGAGAGACTGCAGACAGAAGGGGACACTAAGACTGACACCGTCAATTCACCCTTGGACTTTCCCACAAGTCAAACTCTGTCCTTCCTTTGAGGAACAGCCACCTCCAAATAACTCTGAAAGTCTATTCCCTTCCCCAGCTCTCTAAAGCATGCAGTATGGCTCAAGCCACACAAAGACTGCTATGCAGCTTGTAAGATCAGAGGCCGGTTACCTTTCAACTACTGAGATATGCCCTGTTAACTGCCTGACAGTGACTAAATCATCAATATAAAGTCTCACCAACCACCAACTGCTTATGACGAAACAAAATACAGAGCAGTCTGGTAAAGGCTTAAACTAGACTCTTATTTAATATAACAGACAACGTACACTGGACATCAGGAATCACATTAGTGATCTGTTAGTATTCAAAGACTTGTCCTTGCGCCCACACTAAGTTTGCACTAAATGACTGCACATTAACATGTCTGCATGATTTCATCCATGAGTTCTCACAATTTACAAGTCTCTGACTTCTTGGGGGAGTCCCTTCCACATACTGCCACCATGCCCTGACAGTCTAGTCACCACCTACTGCCAAAGAATGCCAACAGCCTTACCTTCTTCCTACAACGCAGCTGATGTGCTGCTGCAAACACCTGCAACTTCTGCCAACACCTGCTCTGCTACTAGTGGTTTCAAACTACCTGATGACAAAAAAGTAAGTGAACATTTGTACATGGTAGCACTGACTTCCCGCTCCTAACCCTGAAGGTCCACACAAATAACACAGGGTGTGAAGGGACCAAAGAAAGCACGCTTTAATTTTTGAAGTGGAGCTATAATCTCTACTCCCACCACACACAGAAACCTCAAGAAATCCCAGACACCTTTTTTGTAAGAATTACTATGTAATTAAGTTGCAAATAAATAGGACAGACTTCCATAAGTATCTGTCTCACTTGCTAGTCTAACTAGGATGGGAGTTTGGAAGAAAGGACATTACAGATCATAAATCTGACCCAGCGTATCAACTCTAGTCTTTGGCAATAGTTACTCTTGCTGATTATTGGGAGATGAATGTCATATCCAGCTCCACGAGGAAAGCTGCTTCCTATCCCGTGTTAAGCCTCTCCTACATGCCTTAATGGTAAGAGCAACCTTTATTTCTTGTAACCCATACATAATAATAATTTTTAGTAAACTGTCCTAATTGCTACCTTAACCTCACTTCACAAAAGTGAACTACAGGAAGATTTGTGATGTAATCAATGGTTTTAAAAAAGACGGTAACTTTCAAACAAATATTCCTTATTCTTGTACTTTAGAAAAGAATGAAAGCTAGAATCTTATGAGGAACCCTACGCAGCCTTCACTAATAAATCCACAATGACTGACAGTGTCAGACGTGATTTAAAACCTCAAAAATTACTTTTTTTTTTTTTTTTTTTACAAGATGCACCAACACAAAATTTTTTAAAATAATTAAAGAGCAACCAATTTCAGTCTTTTTCCAGTGCAGACAAATCCATTAATCTCCAACTGTTAAAATTTTTTTACACCTTTGGTCATGTTACAGGTTAAATGTGTAGCTGAACCAGTCAAAGGAGATGTCAAAGCTAGAAGGCAGGTTAAAGCATAGGTTGGGAGATGAACCCATTCTTACTTCATTTAAGCTATCTAAAGAGGAAAGGAAAAAAAAAACACATACACACAAAATAAAAGGAAATCGTCTTCATTAAGGCTCAGATTGTAACACCAAGGATCCATAAATACACACCTAACAAGTAATATACCTAGCAGCAGCATTTTGTTGTAAAGGCACAACTTGCTTTTAAAACTGCTTAAGATGATGAAACTACCCCCAAAACTTCTGGGATCTGCTCCCTTTCCTCCTCCTATCTACAGCACAGCCGCTTCAGACTTCATTACCACATTCTCCAAGGGTTACTAGCCCTGTCTCCTGTCCTGTAATCTACCAGGCAGCCACAAGCGTAACACTTTATTTAGCTGCTTAACCTGCCACTCCAGAACGTACCCTGTAGCCTCGGCCACGCTACAGAAATCAAGTAACACATTAAGAAATTTATCTGCACTACAGATGTCAGAAGCATCAAAATAACACTTAGGAGAAATTAAGCTATCAGCACAGCTACTGAAGTTGGAAAAGAGTTCACTTCAGACCAGAAATCAACTACTTAACCAATTATACTCAATTATACTCAGATCAGAGTACATCTGTCAGCACAAGCACTAATCTCCTGCAGCACCTATGTCTAAGCCTTCTACCTCATCATGCTCAAGGTACTTCATATTTAAGGAAAACAGACCATTTAGATTTTAATCATGCATCCATACAGTACTCTCCACAACATTAAAGCAGAAGTCTGGAGGAAAAAAGAAAAAAGGCTCACCTACTAATTTAAATTTCAGAAATGTAAATTAGTAGATGTCAATGTATTAATGAAATGACATGCTGCTTCTGCTAGGTATTTAGAACAATGCTGTTCACTTTTTGGCTACAAAGGTGCACTTGTCTTCCCCATAGCTGGCTCTGAAGGACTTGCTTGTCTAGCGGTCTTGACAAGCAAACCACCACTGCGATGATAAAATCAACCACCTACTCCTACTCACACTGCTTCCTCCAGAACCTTCTACCACAGGAATGTGTAAGACGACAAGAGTCAACAGCTCTGCCTTTGCTCCCAATGGACAGTACTCAAGCATTGACAGCCAACCTGCAGCTCACGTCTGGGAGATTGACTGCAGCAGCAGCTCAGCTGCTCTTTCTCTTAGGAGAAAGACAGCAATACACAACAGAAACTAAACACTTCCAGAAGAGCCAGATGAGGTCAATGTTTCTCCAAACGTATAAGTGGGCAAGAAACGCTGGAGACAAGACTTTCCTTGTTGCAAGAATAAATTAATGGACAAATTCAGTGAGAAAGATCAGACATCAATGCTCGCCTCAACTTCTGCCTTCAGACACAAGCTAGATGTTCTCTACTTTTTCAGTATTCTCATTCATATAGTCTCACTTATCCCTAAGTCTTCAACCCAAATTCCGTGCCCTATCTTTGGCATATGGCACTAAAAGTATACAAGCTGATTTTCTGCACATTGTCTGTATTTCTTTCCTTTTCATGTCCTATTTCAAATACAAAACAATACAAGGATTAACACATTCAAAAAAATGTATATTAAACAGCGCAAACCACCATCAAGCTTTAATTTCTTTAGCCTTTCACTCCCCACAACTGTAGAATTACTTAGGAAAGATGCCAGATTATGTCCCCTATCACTTTCTGCCCATCTATTCAGACATATCAGCAGAAATTCCTGCTTATTTATTTTAACAGTTTGCTGGATTAGGTCTCATCTCTTTTGAGCCAAGAAACCAAGCAGATAGATAGACTGCCATATTTAGGAAGTGCCACCTTCGACAAATTTTACCTGCAAGACTCTTCCCCTCTGCTGACAGTCTACAATGCTGGGCCAGAAAAATAAAGTCTACAGACAGGGTAGTCCAAAAGCTTCTGTAATACCTGTATTACAAAAGCAGCTTTTTCCCTGAATTGAGCCCCCACCCCAACCCTTTTCCCTTATGGCTCACCAAAGAGGAGATCCCAGCCAAGCTATCTTACTAGGTCCATCAAAGTAGGACTCCAGCAAGTGACGTGTCTCAGATGAGAGTAAGAGCAGAGACGAAAAGCAAGCAAAGAGAAAGAGATAAGGATATGGGCTAGCTGGGAGTTTCCATTAAACAACGCAACTACACAACATAACTGAAAAAGACAGGGTTGGGAATTATCTGATGGAAAAAAATTCAGGTGATTTGTTTCTGGCAAAATATCACACGCATATATAAAACAACTGCTACAATGTACTTCAATACGTTAACAGTCCAAACTCCAGTTTCACTGAAATATTCACAATCCGAAATATGACTAGTCTCAGTATTTTAAGGAATTAACCCCCCCCATATTAAAAATAAAGATACAGAGTTCTAAATACAAAATAACTGCCTAACTTCTCCAAAGCAACTGCTAAAGGCACCTCTGAAAATACATTTGTGCATCTTACTGGTATGTTCCAATTCTGAAGTGATAAACAAAGTTCTATGTTTAAAAAGAATTAAGGCTTGTTCTATGATTGTATCTACATCACTGGAAACATTCACGGTCAGGTTGAAGGGGGCTCTGAGCAACCTGGTCTAGTTGAATATGTCCCGGCTCATTGCAGGTGGGTTGGAATAGATGACTAAAGGTCCCTTCCAACCTAAACTACCCCATGATTCTACGATTTCTGTCCCTCCAAATATTAAGCTACAAGACCATTTTAACTTTCGGAGTCAACACCACCACTACCAGATGAGAAATTAAGTACATCACCCTATGTGTCATTTTGCCAAGAATTATGTTCAACATTCAGCCTTGGGAGCAAAAATAACATCAGTCAATAGAGTTGTTAAATTCACATAAATTCCAGAGTGTATTCATATTTTTATCATCTCACCTACAACATCTCTGTCAAGAAAGATGCTATTAAAACTTCGGCTAACATCAGGAAGTACTCACTTTGGAACAAGGCACTTTAAATAGATTATGGTTCCCTTACTGCTTTATTACCTTTGCCATAACTTCAGGATCTGGGTCTTCTATAGGGTCAGCCCATTCAACCGTAACAACATTTCCCCAGACTTTCACTTTGCCGCTCATTAACCTACGTCTGGCCTGAGCAGCGGTTTTGTGATCTTCATATTCAAGAAAACAGAAACCCCGGTTCTTTTTCTTGTCATCAGGCTGATGATACAATATGACATCTGTAAGACCCTCTGAAATTAAGCAAAATATTTGTTATGGATTCAGTCCATGAATTTGTATTATAAAGTGGAGATTATCTTTTTCGTAAGTATGCATCTGACAAGTGGTTCCAAACGAAAGCACGAACACACTAGACTTTTAAGACCACGTACATGACAAAGTTTCCCTACTCTCAAGACCAACATTTTCAAAGAGACACATCAGGCTATCCCGACTTAGGTTCCATTTTTAAGCGAAGAAAACTTAGTAGCTGTGGAAGAGTACCTTCCATGGGAGAGAGGGGAGGCAAAAGTTGTGCTTTGTCAGTTCTCCTCTCAAACCCCTAAGCCACACCACTTATCAGGATGTTGTTTTTCTATGGATGTCTGTTCAGAGATCAAACTTGCATGACTTTAAGAGATCTAACAAGTTACAATGTTGCTCAAGGAACCTGAAATATATCATTCAGTAACAGAGAAATCCATCAAGTGTTACCTTTGCCAGTTTATATGAAGTTTTCAAAAAGAGATCCTTATAAAATCACTAGGAATTCTGAAGCACAGAACTAGTTATGTTCTCCAATGTGCTTCAGTTTTGCCTTGAAAAGTTGTAAAACATCCATCAGTATTGAAATATTTAAACCATCTATTTCTTTGAATGGCTTTTTTAGACATTACACACATTCTCTGTGTAGAACTTGGAACCACACACCTAGTCTAATCACAAATAGTCCAGCCCTCAGCACAACTGTTTCTTAAAAAAAAAAAAAACCCAAAAAACAACAACAACAAACAAAAACCCACAACACAAACACAAAACACCTAAAAGTCACGATGATGCCGAGCGGTCTTCATTTGGCTTCATCATCATTCAACCATAAGCCAAAAGATGAAGAGAATTCATCACTGATCATGTCTGACATCTTTCCAGCTCTACAAAACACAGTTACTGACTTACCTGTTACTTTGCTAAATTCTTCAACAATTTGCTCCTTGGTTTTACTCTTAGGAATAGAACCAACAAAAAGCCTATTATTGGCAACAGAGATGCATACACCAATGTGTTTTCCAGAACGAATTTCATGGTTGTTGTACTGAAAGAAAAATAATTGGACAATCATCAGATATGTATAATTTACACTCCCCTCCAAATATTTCACTTTTGCAAACATAGCGCTGAGTAACGTATTAAATTCTTTAGAGCTTAACACATTCTTATGATGCACATTCAACTGTTCTGAAGCACACCCACCAGATACCGCCACAATTTCAGCCTGTTAACTATTATTCCCTTTTTGTTCAAGCCTCTTTCTTAATACATGTTTCTTTAGAGACATTTTCATGTAGAACCATGAAAGCTCAATCTTATGTCCAAGTCTTCAAGATCACGGCCTCTCCCTTCACAACAGCGCAGGAAAAAAATGCAAGTTTTTCTATAGATTATATCTATGAATTCTTGATTTGTGCATAATACAAGACAGGATTTACAATTATCCCTTCTGAAGCTCCATAGTTAACATGAAGAGCTGTGATCAGGACTTCTCCACAAAATGTGCAAGAGCAACTGGCAAATATGTTCCAAAGCACATAGATTACACATGTAAAGATAGTAAACAGCAAGAACAACCTTCTACTGATTTGAAATCCTAAGACTTCTGTTCAAACACTTCTTCCATAACATTGTTTAGAAGACACCCTAAACAAGTCAGTAGTTTAAGAAAAAAAAAAAAGTATTACTGTAGACATCTGTTGACAAAAAATGCCTTTCACTGAGATGCAGACAGACATGCATCATCCAAATAAGCAGCAGGGAGGTCAACTGGTGGTACATCAACCCCTTTCCAACTGGAAGCCCTGTAACAGACAGTTCTTTAGCTAGGAAAATGTATTTTGTGGTCAACATATTATTGACAAGCAGCAGGATAGCTTTTTAAAATTTAATCCAGCTATTTATTCTATGAGTTATTTTGTGTTTGGTGGTAAACCTTCCTGCGTAAGCAAGTTCTCCCACATCCATTCTTGCTTTGTGCACTAAAATCAGGGTGAAGACGTTCATTAATTTATATTTCTCTTGTGCAAACAAAAACTACATCACTGAAAACTGCACCAGAAGTGAGCTAGAAGGAGAACTGTACATGTGAAAAGGATCTGAAGTGGCATCTTCTCAGCTAGTTCTGTCTCAAAACATAGTAGGATACAGTCAAAGACTTCTATATTCCTATCTGCTGCCCATGTAGCAGTGGAATAGTTGATTTTAAAATAGGAAACAGCTGCACAGGAAGACTGTGTATATATATATTATTATGATCACTAATAAACAGACTTATACACATTAATGAAGAGACACATTACCATAGCTCAAAAAAATCCTTTAAAGAAACACCTTTAAAGACGCTGACAGTTTATTAGTCTGGAGAAACAAGACACAAACTGATTCTTCATTAACTGAAGTCTACACATTAGGAAACATTTCTTCATATTAGGAAGGGTCATATTAGGGTGGGTCAAACACTGGAACATGCTTCCTAGAGAACGGTCAATGCCCCAGGCCTGTCAGTGTTTATGAGACATTTGCACAATACGCTTAATACTACTACTTTAACTTTTGGTCAGCCCTGAAGTGGTCAGACAGTTGAACTACATGATCATTGCAGCTCCCTTCCAACTGAAATATTCTATTCTACATGGATAACAGAGGATATTATCCGACTGTTCCTGGTAAAGTCTAAAATCAAAGTCTGTCTACACATCTAATCCAAAGAGAGCCTCTCACACAACTCACGGCAACAAAGTACTACTTCATAACTTAAAAAAAAATTAAAATATTCTACCATACTGCAATTCCACATTGACAGTAGTTTCTAGTAGTTTTTCCATACTGCTATACATTAACTACTACTTTTCATTGTATGTTTTTCTTAACACAGAGGAAACAGTCTTGAATTAGGTGGTCTTGAATATGAAGTTGGTGGGTTTTAGGTAAATAGTTTGTGTACCATCTGTAAACTTAGATTAGACATGAACAGCCCCAAATCATCATCTGGGTCAAGTGCCAAAACAGTCAGGCTACCAAATCACCTATGTCAGGATACTGCTTCCCCCTCCTGTCACCAGTGAATCAATGCCCAAAGCTAGTAACAGAGATATTGCTACCCTCTAAACACTTTATCAAGCAACTTGTTTGTTTTTGCTGAATTCTGTAAGAACCTACTCACAAACAGGTCAAAGTATGTATAAGGTCTGTGTTGTCATTTTATCCACTTAAAACTTTCACCAGCAATTTCAGTTTATTTCCAGCAGCAAATGGCAAGTTGTACTGCTACGCGTAGCTGGCAAACCACTCAAGAGGCATATATGCATAACTCACCTGTACCTGCACTTTGATCAAGCTTACATTTGCTCTAGTCAAAAATACACTGTATGCTATTATAGTTTTCAGTATGTTTTCCTGCAAGCTTCATGTCGCAAGTATTTATCCTGTACGAGTCTACATTAATGCTAACCACGCAGAAATCTTTTGAAAAACTGCAGTCTAACAAATTCATAAGAAATAGGAGGGAGAATTGAAAATGTGTGCAAAAGAACACAACCGGAGTTCTAATTCTTACCTCAAACAGTATAAAACAGAAGGTAAACACAAACATGTTAACAGGGAAAGAAATGCCTGGGGTAAAAAACAGAAAATAAAAATCACAATTTCTGACTGTCCGTGCTTGTGTGAACATCTGAGATGCTACTTCTACTTAACCAGCGATGGTTAACAACACTGGATTAAGTACTGGGCATAAAATTAACTACTGTTCATATCTGTAAGTCTTCTCACTATCAGGCCATAGCATCACTCCGTTTTTGTCTCAAGCACAGCCCCAGAAGTGTTTCAAACACAATTTTGGGAATTCTTCCTTTTTCCAAGTGGCTTAAAAATGCACATGCATAAACAAAATCAAGGCTTCAGCCTTTTAAATGGCAAGATTTCTTTCGGTTAACGAACAGGGCAAGTCAACATCAAGTTTATGTAAAAATTTTAGTTCTGTTTTATATTAAGTTGTTACAAAGACTGTGGATAATACAACAGCCACGCAAATACAAATGTAAAGTACATTACACCAACTGCAAGAACCTGAAGACAGGTCAGTTTATTCTCTGTTGCAGTTTGGGTATTGACAAAAACCTCACAGCTGTCTCTTATTACTCAGAAGCCTACAGGCAATGCAGAGATTTTTGTTCCGATTTTTGCTATACTTCACAGTCCTGAATGGAAGAAAAACAGGCCTCTGGGAAGAAGATGGGAAATCACAGAGGATCCCCTATCCCAGGGAGTTCAGAAAGCTGGGAAATAAGTTGTATACACATCAGAAGATTACAGGTAGTATCAAAAAGACTACCACCTGTTAAAATACTAGGATGTTGAACTGACTAGGATCAAGGGTCCAGCATTTCTAAGAGTTCTTTCAGCAGCCTCTCCCATGCATGTGTAACTAACACAAGTGACAGACCTATGATTTTCAACTGAGCTCTACAGCCGTGTTTTGCTAGTACCCCTGCAAATCACTCCTAGACAATCTGAGAAACTTCTACACCAAACTAGCCAGCCATCTACAGTTGGAACCATTCAAAAGCTGACAAATGCCACAGGATCCAACTTAAAACTAACCCTGCCCTCAAAGAGGTTAGCATGAGGGCTGAAAAACTGCCCCATCAACCACACTTTTCAACTATTACATTCAGTGTCTATTTAACCGAAAAACAGAACGCTTTTTTTTCCTGCACATCAAAGATCAGATATAAAGTACCTCCTTCCCTTGTATCTTTTAGTGGTAGACAGAGGTCAGGATCTGATGTCACTTTTATGGAAATGCAACCTGAATGACTTTTCAGAGCATGCTGCCTTTAAGCACAATCCAAGTGAAGAAAAACTCCTTCTGTTCATTATGTGCCTCTGAGGACATAATTGATTTGATTCACTGTTTTGCTAAGTCATGTGCGTAACTCTTAAGAGTTCACACACAAGATAAATAGCTAGGTTGACAATGGAAAGAGGTATATGCAGTTATCCTCTGTATATTTGGATTGTGCACAGGAACACCAACTACTCTTATTTAAAAAGCTAAACAGCATATACCAGATATTTCTGTATTTGCACTTTTGTAGATGTTTCTATACTTTTTTCAAAACACATTCCTGTCTTCAGCTGGATTTGTCTCCACCAACTGACTTGCATCATTAGCATATCAATAGGGTACCTTAATGGTTAAAGATGTACCTTATTACCAAAAAAAGAGATTTTAACCCTACTATATCAACACAGTATCAGCACACCTCAGAATGAGTATGGTTAGCACTCTTGAGGGTCACATCTCACACCGATCTTGGTCATATCAACGTAGTAGGAACTAGCTCAAAAAAATTCAAATTCAGCTTAACTAGGAAAACAAAGGAGCAGTGAGAGGACCAGGGTGGCAGTTCTTTCCCTCCTCTTTTCTAGTGACGGATACTTCATGCATAAAACCTGGAAAGCTGATTAAGAGTAGCCTATTCCTTACATGAAACTATTTCACACCTCTGCGTAAAGCAGAGGAAACGCGTTTTAACCTGGCAGAATTTATGACTTTTTCCAGCCCTGCACAGCAACAGACCAGGCCGTAAGGCTCAAGAGCGACAGCTCAGAAGTCACTAACCACTAATACAACTCCGGTTAATAACAAAGGCTCAGCTAACTGAACCGAACAGCAGCCCATCGGCTTTTTTTCTTCTTCTTCCCCTGTCCGTAACACAGCCAGTAAAAATTTATACACAATGTGGAAATCTTTAAAAATACCTAGTGGTCATTTATGAAGTGATCTAACAACGACAGTTTCATCTTAAGCACTTAAGCATTAGGACTGGGACAACAGCTTATAAGCCAGAGCGAGTTCTTAAAAAAAAAAAAATCCAAATAAGAAAACTTACCAGTTTAACAGCTTCCTGAGCTGCCTCTTTAGTACAAAATGTGACAAAAGCATATCCTCTATTTAGACCTGTTAGTGGATCCATCATTAAGCGGAGATCCCATATAGGGCCAGCTTTCTCAAATAATGGAACAAGTTCATCTTCAAACAAGTCTCTTGGAATCTTGCCCACAAATATCTGCAACAGACATACAGAGCGATGTTTATAAAAAAATACTTCCAATGAATAAGAACACATCTACATAAACATCTTCTCCTTACCTCTGTACCAACAGAAGGTTGCTGTCCTGAATATACAGACTCTGGAGGAGGTCCACCATACTTTCTCTGTCCAGTAGTCACATCAAGAGTGTAGCCTGTTCTCTCCAAGAGTGCCTTCAAGCAAGAAACTTAAAATTTTAAAATCATATACAAATTGAGCTCGTTTAGATGCACTTCATTCACACACAGACATGCTTATAATTCCTCTTAAACTGTACTGCTTTGAAACTCCCACAGGCAAACAAGCCTACTGCTAGTACTTCAACAAGAAACTTGCAAAACAATTACAAAAACTATCAGGTAAAGTAACACTGCTAGAAAATTAGAGATTCACAGGGAGTTTTCCCAATTCCTTTATTTTCATTAAAAAAAAAAAAAAAAGTCAAGTAATAGAATAGCGAGCTTCCCTTTAATTAGAAAGATCTTAGTCTAAGCCACTTCTTGTTTTGGCATGTCCAATCCTGCAAACATTCATGCACAGGAGTTCCCTTCACTTAATAAGCTTACTCATAAGTGTGAAGTTAAAGAACACATGTTTAAGTGCTTACACCCCTGGAACACTGCACAGATTGCTACAGGTATCCCACCACTGAGGTGGCAGTACTACTTACTTCCTTTCTCCTAACCTTTCCCCCCTGCTCAAACTCCTTGTGGGCACACAGAGCACCCCAGCACAACTGACTCTCGCTAGAATCACTGCATATAGTTACAGATACACTACCAACTTAAAATGTTAGATGAAATTCAACATGCAAGTATATAATGAGAAACTCCTTTGAAATTACTCTTTCTTAATAATTTTGTACAAAGACAAACCAACTCTACGCACAAAGAAACAGCATATTAAACAACCCTAATTATAATCACAAGTTAGTAATTTCACAACTGGGAAACTGCAAAGTTACTTTAAATGCTATAGCCACCAGCAGTAAAAGCTATGCTACTTAAGTTTGTTAACAAAGTCCTCATATTGTTGTTGTTTTATGTGGTAGTGACAAGAACTGTTACCAGTTTTTTTAAATTTATAACTAACAGCATCTCAGCCTCAAAATCATAAGAAAAAAGATTTTCTAGTTTCACAAGCTACAGTTATTTGTAATATATAACACCTTCATTTCATACTTTACACATGAAATGTCAAAGATGAAACACTCTCTCACTTGTTAAGACATCGATTAAGCATGCTTAGATAGTTTTCCTTTCCTTAAGCTTAAGTAAAATTGCTAATCACAGAACTTCAAAATAAATCACAGCACGCCTAACTCTTGAGACACAAGTCTCTTGCTAGCAGAAGACTCAGTCCAAGAAATAATACGTCCATTACTCAGACAGTTTGGGGCACAGTTTACAAGAAAGTGATTATGAGTGATTATGTCACAGAGGTGGGCTAAATCCACTACAATCTGTTTTTTCAGACACATGTAGCATCTCCTCCCTGTTGTGGAGTTGCTTTAAACCCGAACTGAAGAAAAAAACCACAAAACAGAACAAAAAAGAAACAAAAACCAACCACTAGTAGCTGAAGTTATGCATTATGAATTCAAAAGTTGTACGCTGACAAGTTTCCAAAAACTTTTAACTGTGAAATAGTATATAGCTCTCTCAACTGGAGATAAAGCAAATTGTCAAATCTTTTTCACATTTATATACATTCAGTTCCGGTAATTCACTGTATACTAACTTTCCTCTTGAAGAGGAAGAAGTGCAAGATAAAAATGCAAGTGACAGCTTTTAGTAATGACAAATAATCTACAATAGCCTTTTCCAGAAAATCGCAGTTCCAAAAGAATCAAGGTATCTGTCACACAGATAGACTGCACAGCTTTTATCTTTTAGGCACATACCTTAATTTTTGCCTCATCTGGTCCTTTGCTAGAATCTGCCACCTTGGTCCCCTGTTTTTCCCTCTGCCTGTATGTCTTCATGACTCCACATAAAAAGGCACTTTTGTTCTGCAAAAGATACATCATTCACCAGTTCTGAAAACATGACAAGCCAGAACTCTGTTTTACCTTGAACTAATACAGTGCTTGTTTTACGTATCACATACAGATCACTGGAGAGACTTAAGCAAACCTCTTGCCAGTAAACTAGCAGTTTAACACTCAACAATTATATCCTAAATTGCTTAACATTACCTGAACGTGTGAGAGATCACTGTCTTTAAACTGCTGAAGGACTGCCAATGCACCTTCTTCATTAAATTCCTTTAAAGCTTCAATAGCTCTTTCATCTAGATCACTATGTGCAACTAGCCCTGAAGAAAAGAAAAAAAATTTTAATTACATTTGGGCAGTAATCTTTGTTTAACCACATTTAACATCTCTAACACATTTCAGTGACCCCTAATCAATCAATCACTGATTAACATTAAGTTACTGTAACTAAGAAATCACTTAGTCCTCTCAAAGGTAAACATTTAAGTGTAGTTAACATTTTTTGTATCAAAAAAGCATCAGAAAAAGTTAATGATTCAGAGCAAGAATTACTGCATTTATGTATTCCTTTGACTTCCATGAAACCAGTATGTTGCACAGGCCAAGTTTATTTTCAATATCCTGAAGCTGAATCCAGAAGGATTTATCAAAACCTGACTTAGCTTGCCTAGCAATGGTACCTTGGTACATTTTGGGAGGACTATAAAGACAACTAAACTGCAGTGCTAAAAGTGACCATCACAATCAAAAAAATCAAGCTTAAAAAATACTAGCTTTTCCCATGTCGGAGAGGACCAATACTATGACCTTTGCATCCATGAGCCCAAACACTACATCACGAATTATCATTTACATGAGAATGTGAATACCAAGGCTTCAGTTACTTACAGTTACCTAGAACTACCATAAAAAAGGCACAAAGACAACATCACCTACTCCTCCTAAAAATCATCTGTTGCCTATTCCAGCTGTTGCTATAGTCACCTGCGTATTTCTCCTCCTTCCCACCCCTCAGCCCAAGCAGCCTGGACCATGACTTTTCTCCGAAAAATACTACAACAAATTACAGCACTGAATGGAAAACGTCCACAGATTTTTATAAGACTGCAGTTCCCATACTTTTGGAAACCACAAAAAGTTGCTATTTTAGCCCAAAGACAGCAAAATCCAATACAATATTGTAAGTGCGGTTTTGCAAGTTTTACATCTTACCTGCAACGTAAATTTCGTCTAGTTTTTCAGCAACTTTCTGTGGTAAACCAGCATCAAGCAATGTCTGGAAATGCTCAGAATGGGTAACTGCAGCAGAAGTATCCATGGGCTCTTCAGTACCATTGCCATTAACATGTTCAGTAGCCATGTTTCCAGATATCTGTTCAAATGCAACAAGCATCATAATTAAGCTAAAAATACGTTCAAGTAGAACAATTCGAGTGACAACACACGCAACAGACTGCCCTATTCTTACAAAAATAAAAAAAAAGGGGGAAAAAAAAAAGCCGTAGACCACTTCCCTGACACTTCTTAGCTTTGGAAGACGCACAAAATTCCTCAAAAGAAGCACTAACACAAAGGAAAGCCCTAACACCACTGCCTAGCGGGGGTGGGGTAGCTTTCACTGCAGGTTTTACACAACCCAGCCAGACACTCTGACTCACCTCCCTCTCTCTGTCTCCCTAACACACTCCCTAAGAGGCTCTGAACAAGTTAGAAAC